TTATTTTGACAAGAACACATAGTCTCTCGAACATATCAACAATAGAATATATTGAACCTATGCAACCTTATAAAAACATTTACATTTTACTGTTGCATTCAAAAATTGATCTAAACTCATACGATTCCAAAATGTCCGATTAAAAGGCGGCTTTCACTTTGACCTCACCCATGCACATAGTCAGTCACAATCCTAACCACTTTGTAAGCAGCATCAATTGCGCATCCATGACTCTACTAAAAGTTGAAGATTTGGTATGGTGCCCCACTCACAGACCAAATCTGCAAGGTTGGAGGGTCCAGATACAGCATGTTAAAGTTCCCAGGAAGAAAGAATTTGCACCGCGAAGAAATTAATGAATATTCATACACGAAAAGTTGAAACGAACACTTAGCAACTTCCGAAGAAGCAGTCTAAATACACTTAAAAAGAAATATTGAAATCTTCAGATCTGTAAACAATTGAAGTGACTACATGGAATCATCACTGAATCCTTTTATAGTTACTTTTGAGGTAATCACACAATCGACTGATGAAAAATTTTCTCGCGTACTTAGCTAATGTATGACGATAATAAAATAACTGAGTGTCGATGTGCACGAGATGATATGAAGAGCGATACAAAGGTCAGTTAGTTTTCCATTCATTCTTAATTAGTACAATACTATTCCATCATCTGTCCCCAAAGCCATCAAGATGCTCAAAGAAAATGGGGCTCCCGTTCTACGATATGCATGAACTTGTGTAGTGGCCTCTTGCACATGGGAGGCTCATGGAGCATCCCATCGCAAGAACATTAGATATGGATTTGGACCGGCATTTCTGAGTATTTTTGGTAGCGAAGAAGCTAGGGTCTCTATTGTTGCTGGTAGGTGGTAGTACTCCGCTCGCCATCTGTATTCATTGGGAGATTGGGCTCTTGCATGCACGGATGTTGGAATGCTATGTCAATAGTATCTCTTCTATTTTGGTCGGTCACAACACGATAGCCTAATTCGTCTGATAAAATTATGTGAGAAAAACATGAAGAGAAGCTTCATTTGATGTGCCTGAAGTAGGAGGCAGAAGGTATTTTGACAGTTTTTTAAACTGCTAGGTATAGCTGTTGTAGCAGCATATCTGAGCGTGCCATAATACGACCTTGACGCTGTCACTGATCTTCCCGATTCACATAGAATGGACTTGCTGAGAATTTAAGGTCTTGTCATAGATATGCTCTGTGATGCAGAAAAGGAGTACTGAAAATGTATCAACAGACTAATATTATAATATATATTTTATATACTTATGTATTGCCTCAAGAGGTGTTTGGTCTACATCATAGTTTTAAAAATTTAAAAATGTACCCATTCTTAGAATCTTGGAAGCAACGATACAAAAATGGGTTCTCTTGCATATTTAGGCCATATTCTGGCTACTCGTAGCACGTTGAAGATCTCTCCCCCTCAACACACTTAATTACTTCAAATCCGCGTGAGCGGTGTTGGGAGCTTACACGTGTTGGCAGGTTGAATATTGAGTATGATAGATCATGTGGACCAATTCCAGAGTATTCTGGCGTTTTGGACCAGCACTCCAACGATATCTAAACGCAGACTCATTCTTGCTTGCCTTAATAGGTTCTAGTCATACCACCATCTTCATTGTTTTCACTCTGCTAAGTTATGTCTCCTGGCACGTGCTGCCATGGGGATGGCGAGACCTTATCTACACAGGTCAGGAAAGTGTTTACTGTCTCTTTTCTTTTGGTTCATAATATGCTAATTTATCTGTAATATATCTTTGATCTTCCTACCAAGACTACAGCACCGCCCTGCTCATATGTTGCTATTGGGTGTGTACGGGATAGGTTTGGTGAGCTATGGAACTCCCACCGCCGCTTCTCCACCTTTTCGGCTCACCGGCTCAATTATGCTTTCCTTTTCTCAGAGTATTTAATAGCCAGGCCTTATCTTCAACATCAATGGGTGTCCTCATATGGATCCGTAATGATTATTTCACATTATAAAATACACTTTAATCTGTACCTATTTCTTGATTCTTTAATTTTTTTCAGGACTAATTCTCTCACTAACTAATTGTGCATTCGCACTTATAAAGCGCGAGCGTTTTTAACAGCTCACTAAATCCGCCCAGCGCCAAGAAGATGGAAGCATCTAACAAGGAACGCGTAAAGTCGTAGAAGACCTCTCATGCCCTATCTGGAGAAATGGTTTGGTGGAGCCACATAAACCGCGAGGCTCGTCTATGTTGTTGTTAACTGATTACTTACAGTTGTCTTTCTGGGGCAATTTTATCACCGTTCGTTAGACTCGAGTTGCAAAGTTGTTCGTTCCCTTGGAGGGTTTGTGGTCCGCAGGGGGTTGTGGAGGGTTTTACTTGGTTGCGTCTATTTCTCTAACCAGTCCCGGTGTCCCAATACAAATCTTCATAATCTTAAATTTATACATAATTTATAAATCGCAAAGATAGTGTGGATTTTGTTCAAATTTGAAATAATTAATTTTTATGAAAAACTCCATTTAAATCGGTGAATATACCTGAAGTTTGATCTATAACACCAAAATTGACTTCAGGAATCGATCATTAATATCCTTTACTTTATTCTTTTAATGGTAGCTATACTATGTCTTAATCACCATAATATTAGGCGATTTTCCTGTATTTTTATTAGTATGATTCTAGTCTCGATTCACTTGTAATACTTTTTCATTGTAGTATCGGTATTACTTAGAACAAGATCTCAATTTCGGCAGTGCTAAGCATAGTTTCTCTGTGAGGAGATTTATGCCTTCTTACAGATCTTTTACTTTGACCGGAAGACAAATATACTATATCATCTTACACCCATTGCAAGTACTACACTAATATGGCAATATAGTTCAGAATATTCTCGAACTCGTTAGGACTCAATCTATATTATAACGCTCACCTTTACGACCCGGGCCTAATAATTTACTCTTTCAACTTATTTACTTTCTCCTATTTTAAATTCTCAATTATATTATTTTTGTGTCTATCTACTTGTTTGATATATACTATGTATTTTTCTCACTAAGTTCCTTACCGCTTTATACAAATTATTACCTATTTGTTTACTCCATACGTCGATACACAGTCCTTGAGTTTACCGTTGTCTAATACGTCAGCATTTTAGGCGCCGTATATATATTTTTCATTACACACTAATCATCAAGTCAATCATTTTGACCTATTAGAAATGTAAATACACTGAGAAATGAGCACACTCCCAACACACTTCACTACATATCTAACTACCATTAAGCCTCGATTACATTGGATACCACCAACATTGCCAACCAATGTGTATGCATGGTGCTGTGATGTTTATCCGTGCCTCATGGCACTGTCGATCGTTTAATCGACTTTGTTTATGGGGCGCGTCGAGATACCACTTCTTGACCTGGCGTATGGTTTCACTGCCCCCCCCAACAATTCGGGCCTCCGGGGGGAGAAGGGCCCTCTACTCGTCCTCTTGCATTAGATTATCGCAATGTCGCGAATTGCGTTCGACCTTATGCTGATTACCTGGTGTAAATGCAAAATACACCATACATTAAGCAAACTTTATACTCAAAATCACAGCCCTTGTTCCACTAACTCCAAACTGGTCAGCCACAATCTGCGAAACGAGATTGGAAGGCTCCAAAAAGCACGTTCCACGTTTTTCTAACATGCTTCTTGTTTCATTGCACAAATATTGTTTCTTTGGAGTACGTGTTCGAATAGTTTGCACAATGGTGGCCCATTTCGGATGTATATTATCACCAAATAAACCATTATATACTTCTTTCCTTGAATGATGTAACGACAGGAGAGATGCTCTTGACTGAGAGATTAGAGCATAGTGAGAAGAATTCTAATACATTTATATCATATTTGTACCTAGGTCGAAAGTATACGGAAAAGTTTATTTCTATTATTGCCCATTAAACTCTCAATATATCGCATCGAGATTCTGTCATCCAATATCATAGACATTAAGTAGAGTGTGATATGCTTAATATTCACTAACTTGTTTTCTCTGCGATAAAATTGGCGCGCAGCCCACACCGGTCGTAAGGGATGCGAATATGCTACGCCACGCCTTCGGAGTACAAAATCTACAACTTCCGCATACGAATCCGCTGTGCAAACCCGCGTTTGTATCATTAAAATCTGAAAGGAGTTCTATTAGAGACCAACTTATCAAATTGTTTAGTTTAGTGCTGACTTTTCTAAGTATGTGCTCATGGAAAATATTTTGGAGCTACTGCTTATGAAGAGTGATCTTCCGCATTCGTTGAGATTGTAGATTCTCTCTATTCTAACGAGTTGTATTCGTCGAGTTTCTGTGCCTATGCAGGGTAATTTACTGGCCATAGCCTATTACATTTCGGGAAAGGCGATTGATTTACATATTTTTTGGGGAGAGAGTGATAAAACGGAGCCTACCAGCTCGATCCATTCGATTGTCTGAAAGCTATTATATGCTAGCACTCTCTCTACACTACATCAAGCAACGCTGCCAAAGCTAAATAATGTCTGGACATTCCGATATATTAGCTGTCCGTGAACAGTGCTTCATTGTTAATAGGCATTTACAATCTGAGATAGTAATCTTGGTAGACTGTCGCACGATCGTCAGCCTCCGCGATCTCTACGGGTGATATAAGCGCTAGGCCTAATGATACTGCAAGTCGTCTCGCGCAGACCATCGGTTCATATATTGCAGTGTATGTAGGTGGATGGATCCATCATCAGTTGTTATTCGTGTATAGCTCAATCGAATGGGCATCATTTCTCTTCATTGATAAACTATTTAGTCTGGAGTGTGATACTTCCTCCATCTAAGCGAAGAAGAAAGTTGGTGAAACTCTATTTATGGGATTGATCTATTGGAGTTTAAGATCACTTAAAAAATTTTTCATTATGTAGAGTAGATTAATATATATGAGAAGCAGAATCTCAAAAAGGACAAATGTCCAGAGAAACAAGCGATATACATAAATTCTAAAATTCCAAATTTGGAGAGTCGTCACAAAAAAGGTCTAGGTTCAGTCCGCGTATTTTCATTACCATTTGAGAAGGCAACCAAGGAAAATGCCATGTAGGCAGGAACTGAGTAACATTACTCTAAAGGAAATGACTTACATATTATGTGTGGGGCTTCAATCATGAAGGAGTTTGTTATGTATTTATGTTTGCCAATTAAAAATGTGTCTTCTTTCATTTGCATTATTTAGTAATTGTCTAATTAACTTGATTTAAGTTAGATCACGGCTAGTAGACTACTGCACTTGCACAACGATATGAAAGTTTAAAGAGCAGGTTGTGAGAATTATCTTAATATGACACATAAAAATTTGAGAAATTTCAAGATGTGTCATCTATCGGTTAGCAGGCATCACAGTATGCTAAGGCTTTGGTATGCCTCTCAGAGTCGAAGAATGATTAATCTCTAGATCTGAGTAAACACAACAATCTCCTGAATATCTGCATTTTCTCTAATATCTAGAATGCATGATCAGAATATTTGCTCCGTCGGCTCTCAGTCCTGACGAACCAACTTAGGGTGAATGAAAGCATAAACTAAAAAGAAAAATGATACGAGGAATGGTTCAACCATTTATCAAAACTTTGATGAGAATGGTAAAAAAGACCACAAATACTGATTGAACAGATGCAATTGAAAGGATGAACAAGTCGCAAAGACAACACCAATAATAGGATGACTCTCAAAGTAAATGGCTAGTCTTATAAAAAGAATATGAAGCAGGAAAATTCCAATGAAAATATATTTACTCAAGACGTGGACATTCTATATCAAAAATCCTGCTGTTGTGCAATTCCAGGTCTAACTGAACAAGCACGAATGATAGAAAAGGAATTTGGACCTACAACAAGATCAACACAACTCCTCTCTTTCAAGCCTCTTTTTGGACAATTTTCAAAATCTTGTAGCGCAGCTGACACCTATCTTCCGCGCATTATTAGATTCAATAAACCGCTGATGTATATTATTCTTATGATTTTATACCATACTTAATATCTTGTATTTTGATTCCAGTTTTTTTTAAAAGTACTTGGAGTACCAATGTCTTTTATAAAAGTAATTATCATCGAAAATTTATCGTAAATATTTTATGTTAATAGTTTGCAATCTTGGTAAGATAAAAAAATAATTACATAAAAAATATTTTAATTTTTGAAAAATAATTTATTTCTAAATTATTATTATTTAATTATTTATAATATAAATTTATATTTAAATATTTAAAATTAAAAATCATTTATATAAAAAAAAAATTGGCGGATGAACAGTGCGACGCCAATTCAAATGCCGGATAAATAGCCGTTTGGTTGGGAGGCGGGCGAGACTGCAAACAGTCGTTTGCAGTATGGCTGGAGAAGCTCTTACAAAGTATGGATGACCGCACCTTGAAAAGAACTTTTATGGGTGGAGGGATTTTTCAAATTCAAGCGTCTCTTTTGGAAAATCAATCATAACGACATAAATCCATCCCATCCACTATTGTTATCTGATGTGATGTACTTATAATGCAAATGGTGGATTTAAATGTGAAAGGTCAAATTGGTACAAATGACATATACGTTTATATAGGCATAGCAATTAACTAAATTTATTTTATATTCAAGCGTCTCTTTTGGAAAATCAATCATAACGACATAAATCCATCCCATCCACTATTGTTATCTGATGTGATGTACTTATAATGCAAATGGTGGATTTAAATGTGAAAGGTCAAATTGGTACAAATGACATATACGTTTATATAGGCATAGCAATTAACTAAATTTATTTTATATAGATGTAGCTTTCATGAGGTGATGATCAATGGCTGACAAGTTGTGCAATTTGGCCTTGCAACCATTAGCAAGGGCTCCACCATGCATGTCTTGTACATGTATGTCTCATGTTTCACCGCGTTCAGCATAGATACTATAGTATATATATATAAGTTCAAATGCAGAGCAAGCAGGCATTTTCATATACGAGATCAAAAGTCCGATAATCATTACAAACATATTAACAATTTCATAAAATTTTTAAATTATATTAATCGTAGAAGCAACAGAAGCATCGTGGGGCCGGATGACTTCATGTTCGCTTTTTACTGTATTAATTTTTAGAAAATTGAAATAATAATAATTCAAAAATATAATTTGACAGTAGTCTCACCAAAAAAAAAAAAATGAAGAAATGACCTTAAATGATCTTTAGGTTCGATCCACTTGAGTCCTCGATAAATTTAATTTATCATAAAGATTATTGTAAAATTATTTTTTTAAATAACAAATCTGAGCTATAATTTTGCATATATGTATATATATATATGATATTTAGATCAATTAAGATAAATTCATACACATATCATATATATGCAAATATTCGAACTCTGAACCTCTTGATTAATAGTTAAAACTCCCTACTATAACAAATCAAGTTAAGGTGAAAATCAAAATGAGAAGGCTACAACTTAGGCTTCATTTTAGACTTTTTTTTTTTATTGTTTTCTTAAACAATTTTTTAGTACAAAGTTTTATTAAATTAGAAAGGATTAAAAAAGTTATTATAAATGAATTAGGCTTTGTATGGGACAGCGTTTTTACTATCTTAAAACAGTTTTTTATGATAAAAATTTAATCTTTTAACTAAAAAAATAAGTTTGAGAAGCAGTATTAAAGTCGTCTTAGCCTAGTCTAAAAAAGATATATGGAGGCATGGAGCTTGGTTTTGTTCTTTTTTTGTCGGCAGCGTTGTCAGGCGCTTAATTAGCCTTCATCCGTCCTAGCTTCCGTAGTTAGCAGGCAAAATACACCTTCCGCGCGGGCGGGCGCTCTCTTTAACACTAACCATATCTTCTGTGGGTCCAAATAAAAAGAAAGAAAAAAAAAAAGGTCACAGTTAATTTCGTAGACTGCAAGATCTCTATATATACTTGCCAATATTCTTTCCAAATAAACTCACAACCATCACACCATTGTCTTCTCTTCTCTCTCATTCCTTACCTTCTTCCCTCGATAGTCCTCTCTCAAAGCTCTCTCCCTCTCTCTCTCTCTCTCTCTCTCTCTCTTTCTCTTTCTCGCTCACTTTGTGTATATATATTATATATTGAAACCATGAACGGCACGCTCCTGTCGAGAAGGGTCACGTGCAATGGTCATGGCCAGAACTCGAGCTACTTCCTGGGTTGGCAAGAGTACGAGAGAAACCCTTATCACCATATCACCAACCCTTCCGGAATGATTCAGATGGGCCTCGCCGAGAATCAGGTATGCATTTATATCTCTATATGTACTGGTCGTCTCTCTCTCTTCATATTTATAGAGCATACATCGTAAAATGTATTTACTTTAATTTGTTCCATGCAGCTCTCCTTCGATCTTCTCGAGACGTGGCTCGCTTCACACCCTGAAGCCACTGACTTCAAGAATGCCGGCGGCAGCCTTTCCCTCTTCCGGCAGCTTGCTCTATTCCAAGACTACCATGGTTTACCAGCTTTCAAAGTAGTAAGTCTTTGATCACTTGATGGAAGAACACACAAATAAATATAATATTATATTTTTCCTATGATACTTCGATAGCATTATATTATATATTTCTCTATTTAATATACGTACGCAAATCACAACATGCTCAGTATCTACTTTTTATAAAAAAATAAGTTGCGACGACGTAGCCCACCTTCTCTCTCACACTTAACATATGCCATGTAGAAAAATCACATGGCATTAAAAAATGTAGCTGCTGTAAATTAAAATTTTACTGCATCCTCTAATTAGTGCTAATATATGGCTGCATGCGCAAATTAAATGTACTATTGGATACAGGCACTAGCTGAGTTCATGAGCGAATTGAGAGGAAACAAAGTAAGCTTCGATCCAAACAAACTCGTCCTCACTGCCGGAGCCACTTCTGCCAACGAGACCCTCGTCTTCTGCCTCGCCAACCCCGGTGAAGCCTTCCTCATCCCCACGCCGTACTATCCAGGGTTCGATCGTGATCTCAAATGGCGAACAGGAGCCGAAATAATCCCAATTCACTGTTCCAGCACCAATGGCTTCCGCCTCTCCAAACAAGCTCTCGAAGACGCCTACCGCTGCGCCACCAAACTCAAACTCCAAGTCAAAGGCGTGCTCATCACCAACCCGTCAAACCCTCTCGGCACCACCATGACTCCAATCGAGCTTAGCACCCTCGCCGACTTCATCGAAGCTAAGAACCTCCATCTCATTTGTGACGAAATCTACTCCGGCACCAACTTCATCACCCCTGCAGACTTCATCAGCATCAAACAAGTAGTTGCTCAGCGCCCCCATCTCTCTAACCAAGTTCACATCGTATACAGTCTATCCAAAGACCTCGGCCTCCCGGGCTTTCGCGTTGGCGCCATTTACTCCGAAAACGATCTTGTCGTCGAAGCTGCCACGAAGATGTCGAGCTTCGGCCTCGTCTCTTCGCAGACTCAGTATCTCCTTGCCAAGATGCTCGGAGACAAAGAGTTTACGAGAAACTATGTTGTGGAGAATAAGGCCAGGCTTAAGGAAAGACATTATAAGCTTGTCAATGGCCTTGGCGATATTGGTATCGAGTGTTTGGAGAGTAATTCAGGTCTGTTCTGTTGGGTTGATATGCGTCATTTGCTCAAGAGGAATAGCTTTAAAAGTGAATTGGAGCTTTGGAAGAAGATAGTGTATGATGTTGGACTAAACATATCGCCCGGTTCGTCTTGCCATTGCACCGAACCGGGTTGGTTTAGGGTGTGTTTTGCAAACATGACGGAGGCCACGCTCGACCTCGCCATGCAGCGGCTTAGGGACTTTGTGCAAAATGGAGGTGTGATGCGGCGGCAACGTAGGCTTGGACCAGTGAAGATTGCGTGGTGGGCTCGACGGCTGTTAACGGCGTCGGAGAAGAGGGTGGAGCAGCTCTCACGCTAGCTGACCGTTATAAGTTGCGTTTCATTATGTATAGCTTTTGATTTTCCTGTTTGGCTCTTTGTTATTTTCTTAAGCTGCGTCTATAGCTTCTTCTTTTCTTTTTTATGCCTAGCTACTTTTCCATGGAGGAGAAAGGTGCACTCAGCTCTGTTTGATTGGGGTTTTTTGAAGTGGCCTGCGCTAGCTGACCGTTATGTGTTGATGATGTGTAAAAGTAGTGTTGTTCAGGATATTTTGATCATCACTACCATTCTGTACGTTCAGTGAAAGTTTTTCACAAACTATCTTTTAATATATAAATTGTCAACTATTACATTATATTGAAGAGTACCTTACCTTAATGAATGAATGATAAAGATATCGATTAAGTCAATCACGAAGTCAACCTAACTGAGATTTTAATGTGTTGAAGAAATTTACCATATTTAAACATTGGATGGTCGTTGACATATGCAATAATAGGAGGGACAGGCTTTGTCGGCGGCAAGAGTGGTGGTCGGTAGTACGATTGTGGGCGCCGATGGCGGGCGAGGGGGATAGACCAACAAGTCTTCTGCCGTGCTGATTTTCCGCGACCGACTTTGCTCCTCCCACTAATGAATTTAGTAGGGACCCACACCTCGTAACGAACATACAAACACTTATATAGGGACCCACTTTCCCATGGAAACTTGGTACGCGACATCACACTGTTTTTAGCTGTTTCGATCAGCTATATATAGAACTCAAAGATAAACATTTTGGAAAGAAAAAATATATATTTTTTTATTCACCAAAAAAAAAAATCAACAGCACCAATAGTAAAATTAGATTATAAATTATTATAGATTTTCATGCTATGTATATTTATACTTTTTATTAATGTTTGTAGGTCATTTGATGCTATAAATTTTTTTTTTTTTCATAAGAAAACTGTGTTAAAAAAATATTCCCTCAAAATTATTAGAAAAAGTATATTTCAGACATTTTTTTAAGCACAAAAATATATGCATCCTCCCCCCATTTTTTCAACATTTAAGTCAATTAGATAAATTTAAATATATATCACATACATAAAACAAAAAATTTAAAATTTTTTATTTGATATCTAACGGATAAAGATGAGCTGCATGCATCACCCACCTTTTGATACAAATTCAAAGACCTAAATTTTCTATTAAAAAAAAAAATCAGAACAGTACTTTATAGAAATATTTAAAAGTAAACAGTTTATTGAAATATTTAAAAGCTTTCATGTTCCATCCTGAGACTAAAAATTGCTGTTCTATAGTTATGAATCTAATCATTACTGTTTGTAATTACTAAAATAATATGTTTAATTAATGTTATTTTAAATGTGAACATTAAAATAATAAACTTAATTATTCAAACAAAATCTTATTTTAATATCCATCTTCGCATTTAAAAATTGAGAAATTTGATTATTATTTTAATAATTGTATTCAAAATAGTAATAATTGGAATTTTTAATTTAATAATTACATTAAAAAAAGCATTAACAATTCTTAATTCCGACAAATTTCTATAATTAAAAAATAAACAATTACTTCATAATCAATTATAAAATTTTATATTAAATTCATTTCGTTTTTCACTTTTTTCCAAAAGAACGACGTATCGACGCGGTTCCAGAACGCGAAGTGCGGCGAAAGCGACCATGACGCGTTTCTTCGACTTTTTCTTGTTTTCCGAAAGAATGAGTAAAGTCTTGTTTTGAGATGAAATATTTCGGGAACATTGGAGAATGAGAAATAAATTATGAGATCGAGTATGTTGTTGTAATTGTACGTTTATCTACTATCTATATAGTTGAGAATGGTGCTGAACATGAAAGCATAGGGATGGATCTCAAGGCTCTACTTTAACCAATATTGACTGTTGAAAAAAGTTCTTTTTCAGATTATTGGAAGCGAAAGTAATTCTTTTTATTTCAGAAACAATTACATAAATATGCAGATAAGATTTATGATTTGTTTGCATGAGACAATTTTTATCTTATTTTGCTTTTTCAAATTGCAGACACAATTTCGATCATCTCGCTAATATTTTCTTGGTATTTTTTTAAACACTTTTGAGAATTCACAGTTCTTTGAAAAAACAGAGTTAATTATCGTAAAGCAAAAGCTTTAATATCATAAGTAACCAGGAAACCAAAAGGAAGGAAAAAAAAGTAGCTCCGATCTATTTAATAAATTATCCAGTTCAACACCCTTATTGACAACCATTATGGCCATTAATAGTGGCATTCATTGTTGTAACTATCATTAATACTTGTCATTGCTTCTAAAGTTGATGCTCATCTTCTTAGTTGCTGATCTCCCCTCTAATAAGGAGAAAAACCTATGGAGCAAATCATCAATCATCTTTAATTTTTATTCTTTAGGGCTCGCCATACTTCCAACATAAAAAGCTTTCTTCTATAGTACATGCCTACTATCTTACATTGATGCCTTTAAAATTATGAGTAAATGCTTCCTTTAATTTGTAACATGCGATTCATGTACACTAGCATAATTATTTTAGCAAGGTCATGTCTCTTTAGTTTCTCAAAATCATATGACTTCTATGTCCGTGCCTGGCCACAGGGTTGGTACAGGGGACTTCCATTCCTGAGTTTGTTTAGAATTCTTATCCTGCTCTGCTTGATTCTTTCAAATTTTGTTGTCTTGTTTTGTTTCTCGTTGTTTTGTCGTGTTGCCTGTTGGCCGTTTGATATTGTACTCATTTTCTTCTTTGAATAAAATTGTGTTTTTTGTTAAAAAAAAGTATATATATGATATATTTGTTGAATATTAAAATGGATAATTTTTCTCATTAATTATTATTGCAATTATTTGAACGCTTTTAATTAACAGGCAATAAGGATGATTGGATACATCCATGTGGGATTTGTCGCCGATCAGCTTAGACTTGCATTACTAATATCGATGCACAAATATGGGCGGATTTTAAATAAACAAAATCCTTTAGGCTCTCACCCTCTCTCTCTCTCTCTCTCTCTCTCTCTCTAAATTTGTTTTTATAGTTGACAACCTTTTTACTAGCTCTTCCCCTTTCCTCTCTCTCTCTCTTCATGAGAGATGATATTATTTTTCTCTCCATCTTCACATTACTAGTTTTTATATATAAAAAAAAAAACTCTAAATTGTAGTTTATAGGAGATTTATGTAATTAGAGCCAACAAATTATATTAGAGGAAAATTAAAATATTTAAATTTAAATCAATTATCTTCCTATAGTTAAAAAATAAAAAAATTAAATCATAATGTAAATTTCAAACTAAAATAAAAAAAGTTGAGGATAATTTTAAAGTAAAAAATTTATGATCCGGAGATAAAAAAAATCATGGCTCCGTCACCCTGCACAAAGATGGTTTTTAATGGCTATTCGTGGCAGAGACACGTTAGGCCTGATGGAAGGAAGAAAGCATGAGGCCGCATGTGTTCACGAGGCGAGCCATGGGCTTCACATGAGAAACCAAGGAAGACGTGGCACGCAGCTTTTCAGTAAACAAAAAATTTCAGCCTGCAGCGAATTCCTTCTTGATGAATTTATATATATTTTTTATTTAAATTATTTTATATTATTAGATTAATATATTTTGGATGCTTCCTACGCATTAAGTTCGACTAGTTTTCCTAATTCCTGCAAGCCTTAGGGGAGGCATGCATTTTTTATCTTTTTAGTTAAACATTTTACTATATTAAATTTTGTTCTATTCTAGTATGTGTTTCATATCTTAACAGTGTGCAAAAATTCAACACAAATAAATAAAAGTGGTAGGACTATAAATTTTTATTTTTATTTTGTGAAAAACTTAGAAAAAAGGAAAAAATCTTGGAGCCTAGCCAAATTGCAAAATTCACTAAATAATAAACAATACAAAGATCTTCTACTGTTCACTATTGGAGAATAATGAGAGTACTGAAAATCAAATATGACAGTTAATACTCAATAATAAAGTTTAATTTTCCCAATAGGAATTATAAATGTTCACAAATTGACTTTAATTTATGCCCAACACCAAAGTTAAATCTTATCAATACTTTGGAGATGATAGAGATTTCTGATGCTGATGCTGATACTCAAAGATGATGGTGGTTGTCGACGACGATGATAGCTGGAAAATACTAGAGAGATCTCCCTTACTTTCTTTGTTCCTCTCTCCCTCCCTCTCATGTGAAGAATGAGGGCCTATTTTATAATTTTTTTGGAGTGACATGCTCCATAAATATGGAGAAAATATAATGCAAATTAGGAGTACGCCATCAAATGGTTCATATTAATTCTCTTAATTATAGAACTTTCATCAATCATTTAAATATTTTAATGATATCCGAATTAAGTGATCATGGGCTCATTAGATTCATCTTGTCGAGCCGCTCAATTCAATTATAACCATGTCATATTTAAAGATCATTTAATTACTCAATTAATGCTTTGAAGCTTCTAAGTACACTACATTCCCTTGATTTGATCCCATTTGGACTTAGATTAGACCGATTTTGGGGACATTGGGTTCATCTTGCCGATCGAGAGTTCAGTTTGACAATAAGTTTGCTATGATCAGAGTTTGAATTATTCCAAATTTCATTTTAAAATTTTGAAGTTTTAATATGCCTCGAGATTAGTGTTTCATCGATGTGTTTTTTGTGACATATCAAGTTTGCTTCATCATTTATATCATGGGATTAATTAGTCATTATTGTAAAACAAATAAAAGATTATAATTTTGTATGGACAATTAGCTTTCAATAAATTTGCTAACTAATCAGGAAAATACATTAAAGTTACTTCAATTGCTATTATTATTTTAAGTTAAACCAAATACAACTTTGTGGAAGAATTTAAGACAGCTTTGAAGATATATGGTATAATTATTATAGGCAGTTTTCATCCATCTATGAATAAGAGGGCTAAAGTGTTACAAAGAAATTTTAAGAAAAATTATATTATTAGGAAGAGGCTCATTCATTTTTTTTTTTTTTTTTTTTTTTTTT